TATATATATATATATATACATATGATTAAACTCAAGATGATGATATTATAAGTTATAAAAGTATTTTATATAAATTAATTTGATTGTGTTAGTTAATATGGAAGTATGCTTTCCAAATCTGAATTGTAATCAAATTTTATCATTACTTTTACATAAAACATGATTAATATTAATTACATATCATCCTAACTAATAGTCAAGTATGAAGCTTTTCATTTTGGCAAAAGTTGGGAAAAAATATTTAAAATAAACCATTTCTTAAGATTTATTGAATGAATATCAACATGTAATAACAAATAATTGAAACAGTATATTAATTTACATTTTTCAGATAAAGCAATTAGTTTTTATTTCAGTACTAATACTTAAATTAATTGGTAAAATATCATCAGTAACTATTATAAATTTTACATCAAATATGAGTGAACACAATAGCATAGATTTAAAAAATAAAGAAACTAAAACATCTTCATTACATCCTTTTACTCGCCTCAGGAACAAAACTATCTTCTTTTCTTTAGTCTATCTTTAGTTTCTTCTATTTTTTTAAATATTAATGTTATCCTGGCTAATGTGTTAATTAACAATAGCATAGAATTTATTGAGCTCTCAAATGAATATTTGATATAGGAAAGTTTTCCATAGTTTGATTAAAATTTATTTTTAAAATATAAAAAAAATCTTGTTTTTTATAAATATAAAAATTAACAGAAATGAAATCAGTTAAATAAAAATCAGAAAGATGTTTGTTTAAAATGAAGATACAATATTCATCTGTAGAGTAAATAAATGATAAGATCTAAACATAATTCTAATATAATAAAAACAATAAAACAGAAGATAATCATATAAAATTTAGATAGGAAGACAAAACAGAGCAGAACAATTGATACGATTATATCAATTGATGTTGAAGATAGCTACATTCAGGAAAATAAGCATTAATTCTGCTTGTTTTTAAACAAGTGATGTGAATACAGTTTGATATTTTCAGCAGCAATAGTGCCAAATTCAATAATGATACATATTTACAGGACAATAGAATCATCAGAAATTTTCTTTGCATAGTTAGGATATTGCCTTTCTTTTATTTATAATAATCTGCTTATATTCAGCACTATTCTGTTTGCATATTCAANAAGGTCCGATACTTTTTGAACAGACCTTGTATTTCAATTCAGAAGATGTATTGCAGTATGTATTGTATAGTACATACATATATAGTATATGTAAAACATTTGAAGATTTGCTATTAAACATTTTTAAGCTGTTTTAATTTCTGAGTGTAGGTGATAAGGTGTTGTATAAATTTTTATTACAATAAATATGATGTATAAGAATTACGGTTTTAAAAGAGCCGCGCAAAAACATTGACTGGGCCGCGGGTGGACATGACGGGTTTAAAGCAAAGATAAATATCGAAATTTGCATTTAAGATTATTAACAATTGACTATTTCTGTGATGTATACAAGCATATATTAATTAATATGGTACAAGATATACTTTTTGTACTTTTCTTCCACAAATACAAAACACATAAACCAAAGAACCAATCTTACAAATGTTACCTGTAGTTACAAAAATTTACATAGTTACTTAAACGGGGTCGTCGAGAGCTTGTATTGGCCCAGGGGTAGAGCGAGTCCTTTTGTTTTTTGAACAAATGAAATACATAGAATTAGAATGTTTCTTATGAATTAAATTTTATATTGTGTATATATATATATATATATATATTGCGTTGTATGTATATTACTTTGTTTGGGTATCATATGAGAATGGCAGACCGATTTGTATGAAACTTTATATTTCTATTTATGATTGTCCTGGAAAGGATGTAGGCTAATTTCCAAAAATTCGACTTAATATGCTTTGATATCGTTTGCAAGAGTAACTATCAATAGTTCATACGGGTTCTTATCAAGTGTCTCTCGCGAATTGAAAGTTTTTCCCAGAAGCCGATGGGTGTGAAGTGAACCATGAAATTTGAATATGGTCATTAACGAATGAAAATGGACATTAGTGAAAGCTAATCAACCTATTATTTCAGCAAAATGTATGCGATACTAAACATAGTACCACGTAGGGTAAAAAATCACGGATCGCTCATCACTAAAGTCTGCGCAGCGAAATAGTAGATATAAATCAATCTGAGCTGGAAGGATCGTGTGATTAACGCGTGAGTAAGGTTAGAATTAAGAATAAGTAATAAAATTTGTGAAAAAGTAAAACAATAAAATTATGATAAAGATGGTATAAACGGGTTTTAGAAATGTAAAAAACAGATTGATCTCTTTCAGCTGTTTTATGTGTTAACTCCTAAGGAGATAGTCACACGTCTCCTTTCATCTGACGTGAGTCTGCCTAAGCCAACTCAGGCAGACTCACTTCTACTCTTTCGCTGCACGGACTATACTTAGCGTCACAGAATGGAAAGACAAAATAAAAAAGTCGACCATAAAAGAAACTAATAAAATGTATACGATTATATAAAAAAATTTAAATTAAATGAAATGTAAAATTATTTAAAATCTAAAGCTAATTTTTAATACCTATTTATATAATTTTGATTGTTTTTTTAATAAATAATTTTACTTAGAGGGCGTCGTAATCTTTTAAAATGTCGGTCCTTCGGGAGGAAAACGTGTGAAGCAGATAAGTTCGAAAATCAACGCAAAGATGGCAACTGGTTTAAGACATTTAAAATTGCCTCTTAACCGCAAAATAACTAACTTAAAATCTAATTATTTTAAAATATCTAATAGAAATAAAGATTCCAATAATAAAACTTCTAAAAGATCAAGCTGGTCTCGCCACTCTCTTTATTCGGAGAATTTACACGAGGTTAGTGATTTTTTTTTTTTAATTATTGACATGTTCACAATGGGAAAAAGTCCGGTGATTGCTGTTTTAAATAATTGTTTGACTCTCATTCAAAATAGTCTTATCGCTCGGTTTTATCAGCATTATCGTTACGCAAGTTGTACAGTATCAATACTTTCATTCTTAATATTTTATCACTCGCTTTAGGAATTCTGTTACTAATTTTTCTGCATTCTTAACATTTAATGAAATACTAAATTCTCAAATAATTTTTATAACGAGTAAAGGTGATTATGCTTGACCTTGTAAAGATCTCTGCTGTATAAATAAGCAAACGCATAATGAATACACTTGATAAATTACATAACACTGCCGAATTTAGATTAATGAAATGCCTGTTAAGCGAAAAAAATTAGATAGGTTTCAAGATATTGACTATAATGAAAATGATCATTAGTATTGTACTACCATTGGTATTGTGATTTGTCATAATTGTCGTTCTGACGAACTGTTTGTATGAATTTTTATTAATTATTAGCTAATTCTTACATTCTATAAGAATACCCAGTGGCACATTATTGCTTTGTGGGGCCCAGGAAATTTGAATTAGGGGACCCTATGTATGGTGTCGACTTGGACAGTTTTCTTCGGGAAAAATACTTTCTTTAAAAAGAAATAAGCTTGGGAGCCCAGGGCAATATACCCTTTTTGCCTGTAGACTTGCCACTGAGAATATCTTGTTTGTTTAGAGTTCTTTTGAAATTAATCAAAATTGTTAATTATAATTTAAAGGAGTTAGATATTTAATGATTACGTATTTTTGGTGTAAATTTCTTCAGGGGTTCTTCGTCTTTTTGAATACATTAATGTATTTGAGAAGTAAAAAAATAGAATCTGAATGTGGTTGAACTTGAATCAAAAGTACTTGATCAAAAATTCTTGCTGGTAATAAGGTGTTTGGTACTTATATAGTATTGAAACCAATAGATTAATTACGTAGAAATTCTTTCATTTTTTAAAATTAGAATATTCTTATGAAGAACAATTATTTATTAGAATAAAACAGATTTCTTTCTGAAGAGGAGCAATTTTATAAAAATGAGTCATTAAATGTTTTATTCTTTTAAATTAAAACTAATTGTTTTGGTTTATGTTCTCCTATGTTGTTTTTCCATTCCTGCTCTTGTTAGACCACATAAATCACTTTGAATTTTATTTCATATATACATAAATAACTGATGTAAATAACACAAACAAACACAGACTGCGATCTTTCTCAAATCAGCAAAATATTCACATTAATATTTTTCAGCACTTTGTGTTTGATGTTCCATATTCCATTTGTATTTAAAAGATCATTCCAATCTATCAAATAGCCTTATTCAAAGAACTTCGTTGGGCTGTTTAACAGATTGGAATGATATTTTAAATACAAATGGAGTATGGAACATCAAATGCAAAGTGCTGATAAATATTAAAGTGAAGTATTTTTTGCTGATTTGAGAAAGGTTGCAGTGTACACATTTGTTTATTTCATATCCAATTTAAAATCTACTTCATTATATTATTACATTTGTATGACATACATTGTATAATCTGTTTTAATTTTTAATTTTCCATTTCTGTTGTTTAAAAAAAATGTAGAAGAGTAAAAAGACAGGATAAGAAATAAATAAAAAATATTTGAAAGAAAATAATTGTAAATATTGAAATGATATTGTAAATTACATTATATTGATTTGGAATCAAATTGTAAATACAGTAGAGCCTCGATTAACCGACACCTCGGTTAACTGACCGTCCTAGTCGGCAAATTTCAAATGTCTGCTAGTGATGTGGCGCTACAATATTTGGCTGTGTCTTGGCTACTTTAATATTATTTTTGTGTGTTTTAGCTGGCAACACTCATTCGACCATGAAAGGGAGCCAGTATTTAAATGAGGCTTAATTTTTAATGATACAATAGCGACGATTATTATTTAAAAAAATTTTTGTTAGGCTTAACATCGATGAAAATTCAACGTGAAGTAGGTTAATAGCAATATACTAATTACATGGGATATAATAATATACTACATTAATGGATTTTTTCATACTTTTCAGTTATCCGCCTTTTCAATTATCCGACCAACCCCAGTCCCCAATTGAGTCGGATAATCGAGGCTCTACTGTAGGCTTCCAAATCAATATATAGAATATAAAAAATTCCAAACCAATATAGAATTTAGAAAATTTATTTCTATAGTTTTATCAGTAAACCTATAGTAATAAATTCCACTTATGTTTCTAAGATATGTAGCTAATTCATAGTTATTTATCTCCTGAAATTTATTAAACTTAGTTATCTGATTTAAATATTCACAATCTGCTTTCAAATTAATAATTTACAGTATCCA